GAAACCCTAAGGCCGAAATTGCATACTCTCTCCATCCTCTCTCCTCCAAGTTTCCTTCTTGCTAGTTCTTGGGTGTGATTCCATTAGAGGCATTACATTTGTGGTGCTAAGCTTCCAAGAAGATCAAGATCAAGATCAAGAGGATTATCAATTGTTTGCTATAACAATTGAAAGGTATGTAACTCCTAAACCCTAGTTTGTTAATTTCGAAATTAGCCTCTCTCCTCTAGGGTTCTTGTTTTGCAATTCAAAGTTATATGTTCAATACTTAAAACATAGATCCAAAGTAGGTTGCATGTGAACTTAGGAATTGTTTTCTAGTTTATTTGTTTTACCTAAAACTCATCACAAAAGAGTATGAGGATCTTCGTTCTGCACATTGTCAAAAGTTCACAAGAACAAATATAGAACCAAATATGTAAAAACTTGAATCGAATTCAAGGGAAAAACTTGAGATTTAGATCTAGAGTCTACAACCGATTAGAACGATCGAGACAACAAGAACGGATCTAAGTATTACGTAAAACCCTAGAAAAAACTCGACAGAAGAGTAGCGGATTGATTACACTATCTCTTGCTATGATACTAATTGTAGAAACAATAAATAAGATCGATATATTCTATAATAAAGAACGTGAATTAAATGACAAGAACAACGAAGATCAAACATGTGCCTAATGCTTTGATTAATCGACTCTAGAAGAGTTCTCAAGAACTTCTCTGTTAGATTTTACAAACGGCAATTAGGGTTCCAAAACGATAACCCTAAAGTCACATGCATGCATAATATTTATAGTCTAAACCACTAAGAGAATCCGAGAATGGACAAATCCAAACCGGAATAAAACATACTAAACTATGCACACATTTGACACAACACTATTAAGCCCAACAATTATATGTTCATTTATGTTCGTTTATCTTTGTTCGTTTATGTTCGTTTATCATGTTCACGAACATAAACGAACGAACATGAACAATGTAATTTGTTAAACGAATGAACATGAACAAGAAAACTCGATTGTTTAACCGTTTGTGTTTGTTCATTTGTTCGGTTAACTTAAACGAACGAACATGAACAAGTCTTGTTCGTGTTCATTCGGTTCGTTTACAACCCTAAATGTAAGTATATATCTATAATAAGTTATAAAAATACACATAAGTTATTATTATAAATACCAAAATAAAATATATCAGCCACATTAACATTAATATATATATATATATATATATATATATATATATATATATATATATATATTTCTAGTTCTCCAATGTCATACAATGTCTTCGTAAGGTTGTCCATGGACATATGAGATAAGATTGATGTGTGCTTCTATATCCTCGTGGGTAGAATTCTTATATGGTCAAGCAACAAGGTTGGATCTAGGCGACACACATATTTGGTCCATTACTTCAGCAAAGAGACCCCTTGGGACCACTTCTTTTTGCCCTTGTGTTGCACCCGCTCTTGTATAATATTAGAAACAATTGCAAGCTTCTTCCCCATGCATGGTACCTTGTTGATGGCATACTTATTGGAGATTCAGAGGAGGTTTCCAAAGCGTTTGATATCATTAAGGTGATTGACCCAAAATTGGGCATTCAGCTGAATATCAAGAAAACCAAGCTCTTTTGGCCCTCGTGTGATGGTAGGAAGCTACATAAGGGGCTACTCCCAGTTAGCATCAGGAGGCCGCATTTAGGGTGAAAATTCTTGCGAGAGCTATTAGTAGAGATGCTAGTTTCATTAGCAGCTTAGCCATAAAGAGAGCCGAAAACGCCGTGAATTTGATGCACCTTCTTCCACAATTGTTTGACCCCCCAGAGTGAGCTCCTTCTGCTTCGGTCTTGTATAGGTATTGCTAAACGTTTCTTTGGGTTGAGGACGTGTCAACCCATTCACATGGAGGAGACGACATTATTCTTTGACAATGGCTTGCGCGGGGCGATTGAGGACATTGTGGTTTGTGGTCGCCCTTTCTTTGGCGACATACAATGGCGAATTGTTTCCCGACCCATTAGGTTTGGTGGTTTGCGTTTATACTCGGCAGTAGAGGCTACCTCATATGTTTTTGTTACCTCAAGGGCCCAATCTGTGGTATTACAAGACCACATCTTACGGGATAGCGACATATATGGTATGAATTCTGATTATGATTGTGCCTTGGCTTCTCTTCATAAGAAGCTTCCGGATATTGACGTTAGCAGTTTTACTACTAAAGACACCGGCCCCCCTAAATCCCAGAATATACTGGTGAGTGCCATTTTTCGTAAAATTGTCCAAGATATGGAAGTGCATCTCGACATGACAGCCTGACAGAAAGCGGTTTTCCAGTGCTTATGTGCACCACATGCTCAAGATTTTCTTCTAGCTATCCCTATAGATAAGCTTGGCCAACATATGTCTCCTGTGGAGTATCGTACTATCCTCAAATATCGACTCATGATTCCAGTATTCCCAGTTGACGAGATATGTCCGGTATGTCGCAAGCCATGTTTGGACTCTTTTGGTGAGCATACAGTTCACTATAAAGAACTCCCGAAGTTCAAATACAGGCACAATATCGTTAGAGATGTTTTGTTTGACATATTTAAGCGTGTAGGGGTTTCCGCCAAGAAAAAGGCACCTGTGAATTTCTTGACTTGCTCGACAGAAGGAATGTCAACCCTTAAACCGGCTGATGTTTTGATTTTTGGATGGGTTGGTGGGAAACATTCATGTGTGAACCTTAAAGGGGTATCCCCTCTCGTGGGCTTGAGGGCTGAGGTTTAACATCGGGACAGACTACTTTAAAAAATGCTACAAGCAAAGTCACCAAACATGGAAAATCGTGCATGAAAAATCAACACCATTTGCATTTGATATATTTGGTTTCCTCGTGCCGGATGCGGTGAAGCTTCTTAATAGAGTACAACGGATCATACATATCAATGTTATATCCCTTAGATCTATGGATGTAGTATTCAAAAGAATTAGCTTTACCATACAAAAAGACTTAGCGGCACAGGTTGTTGCCCGTTTGTCATCTCACTCATTGTACAATGATAATTAAATTAAAAATAAGATCAGATTTATTGTGTTATTAAAAAAAATAATAATAAATAACTTCTAACTTACCTTCTCAAACATATGTTTGGAAACATTATTGAATTGCTCATCCGACATGTTAAATGTTTATATTTATCAAATTCTTTATCTTATAATATAAAATTGATGGGTTTTGATAATGAAGCATTAATATTCCAAGTCGAGTTAAGGATGCCCTTACTTTTGTGTTTTGTAAATATGCTTATATTCTCATATCCTCAATCTCAATACAAGAAAAGTATGGTCAAAGGGAGTGTTGAGGGGTATGCATTGCTACTGGCGCCTATTGTTGAGATCTGAGCTTCCAGAGTGTCATTCACCACCCACTATCCATTCTTTTATTTTTCTAACTCTTTGGAATACTATCATACTGTTAATAAGTATTCTTATGTTTGTTTTAACACTAAAATTGTAAAAATTTACTAGTAAACTTTTGGGTAACTATTTGATATAGTGACATTACTATTTAACTTTCTCACATTAACCGTAAAGCTGATTGATAGGGATGGCTAGGATGACTCAAGTGATAAAGATTGGGACCGGATATTTATTTTTAGAACCCAAACCGGTGTGAAATCGTTTGGAACCATAACCACATTAAATGGTTTGAGTTCTAGTACCTAAAGTTTGAAACCAATTGTGATCGGTTCTGGTTTCGATTCTAAAATTTTGAAGCAGTTACGTGTGGGTAGCTGGTAGCCGTCGGGACTGATTTTGATACTATAAGATAATAATCTTTTTATCCATCTTATCTTTGATTAACTTGGAAGATCTATTGAAGATAATAAAATTCAAATCACATAAGCATTAATTTAGTTTTTATGTTGTTTTTTTAACGGTTTAAAGATTTTATAGAAAACGAATTATAAGGAAATAGTAAATATTACGAAGGAATATGAATCATAGAGTTTTGTAACCAAGATGTCCAAGAAACATCAAATTGAATCATAGGGTTTAATGATTTCTTTGAGGTGTGAGTAATCTAAAGGGATCACAAATTCATAATCTAATTGACTAGTTTGTGTTTCAAAAGAGGTTGTACTTCTCCCATCTATTATTCATTTAAAAAAAAACACAAAAAAAAAAAACCAAACACTTTATAGTTAATTACATAAACATATTACAATCTGATATATAATCAGACATATGTACAAGAGACTACTAATCAGACATACAATCTGATATATAATCAGATATATAATCAAACATATGTAAAAGAGACTACTAACTCATTTTATTTATTAATTCAGACAAATATCATTATTTGAAATAAAAAACACTTAAAATAGTTTTAAAAACTATACATCCGGAACCCATACTGCTTCCAGCGGTTCCTAAATCTTAGGAGCCGATGTAACCGGTTCCAAGCAATTCGGCCTGGGGTATTCATCTATGCTCACTTCTAGACGATGTTTATTCTTTACTACACTCTCATATTATCCTCGATAAGAATGAAGATTATAGGCCGTAAATGTAGATTTGTAGCTAATATTTTTATTTACATTTCCATTATTTATCAAATCGTATTTTTACAAAGCGATACTATTCTTTTTTATGATCTAAGGAAATATGAAAAAAAAAATTATAAGTAAAAATATAATATGATAATAGTTATAGGTGATCATTTGCTTTAATTTGCCTCTCGTATAATATGATAATAGTTATAGGTGATCATTTGCTTTAATTTGCCTCTTTCTTCATAGAGTCTTTGGCCTAACGGTAAGGAATGACTCTCTCAAAATAAAAGGTCATGGGTTCAAGTTTCACTAGGAGACATAGGTGGTGTTTAGGATTAGATTAGGATTACGATAGCCTGCCATTAAAATAATAATAATAATAATAATAATAATAATAATAATAATAATAATAATTTCCTCTCTAACCAGACTAAAACTTGTAACTTAATTTAAAAGCCGGAATAAAATATATTTGAATAAGTTGTGAAACCGAACACAAATCATCTTCAATAATAATAACTAGCTGAGAAACCCCGCTCCGCGGGGTTCGGAACAAACAAATTTACTCAACACACAGGGATTATTCTGTGTAATTTGCCAGAAAAACGCTATAAACATTGATCCAAAATGTAAGCTTTTGCTGTTTGGATCAACTCATGGACTCCTCCCGAAGAATTTCGACCAAAGCCAACCTATATACACAATTCTAAAAATTCTTATTAAAGCCAGTCAGCAACGGTACAAACTTAGGCAACAATTTTATGTCATGGGAAAAACATCATCAGCTGCAAAATTGTCCAGATTGGATAATTTGCATACAATGAGATGTTATTTTTTATGTTATTAAAAAACCTTTAGTGGAAGTAACCCAAATGTAACAGAAACCAGGAAGTGTGGAAATGAAGATCAAGATTCATACGAACAAATTCAGATGGAGATGTATAAATATTACATTTGATTTTGTTTGAGGTGGGTGGTTCCGAACTCCAGTCGCTTGAAGATGTTCCAAAAAGGGAAGAAACATCTGGGAACAATATTGAAGCTCTGTAAAAAAATACAATACAAATCATAAGAACACACAAAAGAGAGGACGGGGGTGGAGAAGCTGTAGGTGGAACTTACTGATTTCTTTAAAGTTGCCAATTTTTTTTATCGGCATGAATCGGTGTATAAATGCAAAAAAAAAAAACATTCTAATTAAAACAAAAATGAATATGTAGAAAGCATACAGTGGTACCTTAAAACCACTGAATTTAGTTGTACAACACTCATTTATATTAAATGAAAATATACAAAGTTGTGGACGAATTTTGCCAAACCCTTAGGAACTTTACTGTTCCTAAGGTTCACTTTTTTAATATAAAAATATATTAATTTGATCCCTGGGTTTATGTGTTTATATGTACAAAAACTGCAATTAAAAGGATGTGCATAATAAAGAATCCAAAAATAATTGTGTGAGTAGACATCTGGAATCAACTAAAACATAAAATCGAGAAAAGATTAACCTAAAAGTTATAGAAATTTAGTTATATAAAATATGAATCTGACATATCCTAACTAAACATATAGTAAGGAGTAGCGGGTCATGGATTTGATAGATCTAACCTGACCGGTGGTGGTCAACAATCGAAAGCAGATGGCTGAGAATGAGAGAAAAAGACGAAGTGGCTTTTCAGATATGGTCATCGTGATCATAAACTTACTTCATAAAGCCCTGATGACCAAAAGGGAAAAATAGTGTTTATGAACCTGTAATCATTCAATCTAAATTTCAAAAAAAAAATTGAAATTGAAATATAATAGGAAAGAAAACTGAACAAAGTGTCTTAAATTTTTTGATTGCCATTCAAAACACACTTTAACCTGGAATTCATTTGTTGGGTTGATTGTGGATATAACTACTCCACCACTCTCAAACTCAAAACAACTACTGTCTCTCGTCCTGAAACTGAAACCAATGTTTTTCAGTTAATAAAAAAATCATATCAGAAAATGAGAGTTTAAGCAGAAATTCTTAATCTGAAGCAGATTAATTAGGACTTACCCCAAAAAAATGCATAATTCTCGATCAAACAATTTATAAACCATTATTCTCATTTTCTGTCATACCTTATTAGCAACGATATCTAGTTATCAATGAGAACATCGGTCAAGACAGTACCATGGAATGTAAATAAATTAAATAAAATACAAAGGCTTACATGATGTTATCTGGGGTCACATTTTCCTTTTTGAGGGACTTGATCTAATCAAGCATATCCTTCACAACCCGAGTAGATTCACCCAATATAGACATTCTCCCACTGACATTTCACAAAATTAGAATGTCATTTCAAATTGAAAACTGCCAATTCAGGGTTGGAACAAATTTTGAGAAATAAAAATACCTAGGCTGGCATTTTCTTTAGAATCATACTTATAAGGTATCTAAACTCCAATATATTAACGACAATTCTTTGAAAACTAAGTTTTTATATGGTTCCGTTTGTTGTAATTTTGTTTAAACAGTTAGATGCCATTAGACCAACTCTTTGATGAAAGAACACTTCATGTATGAAACAAAAGTAAAATATGATAAATAATAACCCTACTTTTATTTCTTTTGATTACGTTGTATTTTGACAAATCTACTCCTAAATCATAGTTTCATCTTAGAAAAGCAAGCACACCTGTTCCAGGTTTGATGTTTTTTTTTATTAAATTTCATTTAATAAAATTTTTAAATAGCGTTTAAGAGAAAATAATCGAAAGTACATTGCTATAATTTTCAATCTCACATTATTCATTGCCAACTCATGAAGCTTTAGATGTATTTTCACAGTAAAATTGTTTAAAAGAGACTTATGGTTATAATAATTGTGTCAAAGGAGTTTTTTTCTCGGGCTTCTGATCCTTATGTCTGCATCTATTATTTTCTCTTGGAACTACAAAATCACAATTAAAATCATATACCCTAAGTAATCACAGCTGAATAAATTCCACACTTAATAAAAAAAAATAAAAAAAAAAAGATTTTTAGTTATTACCTATGGTGAAGTACTGAACATAAACCACCTACATCGTGAACAGGGGATTTAAAAACTGAAATCAATATAAACCAAAATTGGTAACCGTAAATCTATAAAACAAAATAGACGTGAAGTGCAGTTACTAATTACTTACCCAACTACAGATACGTTCATTCTTCATTCCCGAACCACTATTGACACATACGATAATTAATATGAGAAACATACAAATCATGTGTAGCAACTTATAAAATTGATTCTCTTAAACATTTCATCGAACACATGGCATACCAAATTGACCTAAAAATATACCAGGATGAAATTGCAATACCTGTGCAAGTAGCTTTTAGATTTCTGGTCTTAAGAGTGGGGGAATCATATTGAAATCATCTGCAAATTAATAAAATAGATGACAACCACAACACAGTTCTAGATAAATGAAATAAAAGCAGATAAAAAAAGTAAATTATAAAAATTACAATCAAAAGAGGTATAAACATATAAAAATAGCTGAACATAATGAATTAATGATTGACAACAACAGGGGGAAGAAGACGACGTAGGGAATGGGGTAAAAAAATCAAAGTTTGATTTGTGTTTTGGGAGAAAGCTTAAATCGAAATGAAAATCACCCGACCCTCCGCCTTGCTCACCTACCTATCGCTTCTGCATCTGTCGCACAAGAAACACACGTAAGCGATGGCGGAGTGATACATCGCATCGTCAAACGACTACGTTTGTCGGTCTTCCTCTGCACCTAAGTCGATGTCGGTACAGAAAAGCAAATAAATTGGAGGTGGGGACGGAGAAAAGCAAAGCAATTAGAGGTGGGGACGGGTTCGTCTGATGTTGAAGATCGATGAATCGGTGGGTCTGGCCGGAAGAAGCAGGGCGAGAAAGAAGAGACAACGGAGTGAAGACCCAGAAGAAGTGGGGAATGTCACCGACTCAGATCGTTTTGATCAGGAGGATACGAAGCAGAAATATGAGAAGAATCCAGAACATGTCGATCTGATGGAGGATCGTAAACACGTGCACATTGAATACAGCGGGCAAAGATAAAGATCCGGTGGATTGCTAACACGTATACACAAAGAATATACCTAATGTCAAAATATGCCCCCCTTACAAAAAATATACGTAAGGGACTATTTTTGCCAAACTGTTCACCAGTTCACTATTCATCTTTTAGGATAAGTTTAATTAGGATAAGTTTAATAATAAATAATAATAAATAATAATAATAATAATAATAATAATAATTGTCTCTCTAGCCAGACTAAAACTTGTAACTTAATTTAAAAGCCGGAATAAAATATATTTGAATAAGTTATGAAACCGAACACAAATCATCTTCTTGATAGCATAATCATCTTCTTGATAGCATAATCCATTTGTTTTTTGTAACATTGATATGCCCAATGTTTTTGGTCAAATACTTGTGGATATGATCATTCTTTCTTAAGGCTTATTACAATATGAATTGCTTTTGTGGGGTACGTGCATAGAGCAAGGTTAATTCACACCGCCCTTTGACAAATCACAATGTGTATTTGTGTAAAAAGAAGTGCTAACTATCCATTTTACGACTTAATATTTATCATATCACTAATTGTTCCTTTCATTTTAGAGAAAATCATAAAATTATTAGAAAATGGGTGTTGTTTTCAACAAAATGATAACCTTTTTAAAGAAATAACTTAAAATGACCGTCCATTTTAAAGCAAGACCATTGCAAAAATCATTTGTAAGTTGTGAACCTTGTAAAAAAACTATTTCAAAGTGATTTTTGTGTGAATTTTAAACATATAAAAATATGTTTTTTACACACATACATAACACTTGTTATACAGTCAAATAATATAATCAATGATTATATATATATATATATATATATATATATAATATAATATAATAATAAAAGATTGTTTTTTCATTTGGTGGATTATTCGGTTCAATTATTTTACAAACATCCCAATATATTAATTCGGTTTTGTAGAAAATCAATCCACAATTACAAATATCTAAATAATATAGTGTTAGCCAAATTTCTAATCGAATAATTCAGTTTTATCCGGTAGGTTTCATATATAGATCACAAACTTACTTTGCGTTAAATATTGTATATTATGTTAAATATTAGCATTTTCATAAAGTAAAATGGAACATGTTCATCATTTTGCCTAAAGATATAGGAATATAGGAATATGTATATCTTCTTGTATGATCACAACACACATGAAAGATTAGTCTATGATGCAATTTTACAGATGTTATCTAACGAAGAAATATATATCCATTCTTAGATCTTTGATATAATTGACCGTTTTATAAAAAGTACATGGCGACAAGCAGCATTAGGAATCCACTGAGTGTATGTGTAATGAATCTTCTTATGTCATCATCTTCAATACATTCAGAATCATTGATCTTTCACGAAGTTAATATGATGAGCAACTTTTCGAATCCTTTTTGTATTTTGAATCGATTAAGTCATCATGTGACATCCTCTTCAATATACATACTATTACAAATAACAACATTGGTCACATAAAAAATAAAAAACATGGCCTTATGCCTTTAGCCACACTTTTTTTTTATCCAAATGGTAACCAAACACCATGTCATTTTTATAAGTTATGACTACATTAAAATTTAATGGGACACCAAATTAGCCAAACTCATATTTGGTGGATTACCCTTTTTGAGAATGAAATATATATATACATAGACAATATAGGAAAAAAAACTAGGTTAAGTGAAGTAGATTTCCCAAATATGAACCAAAGTGTAACACCCTATTTTTTTTATCGTTTCGTAGGATTCAATATAAACCATTGTTTATAAAATTCGAAGTAGAAATATATTACTCTTGAGCCAAAATAATTGTCATAGACACATAGGAAACGTCGATACGAATTCCGTAGGTATGTAGAACGCCCAAATCCGACTTTGTATGAAGAAGTTATGTTTTTTCAAAGTTTCACAATTAAACAGCGCGACTCTACGTACCCTAAAAAGTGAATTTTTGATAAATCACTTTTTAGCCTAAGAGATCTAAACGAAAGTCATAGTAGTCGTTAAAATGAAAGAGCACATATAAAGAACGTCCAAATCCGACTCCGTATGGAATAGATATGATTTTTCGAAGTTTCTGTGCAACCGGATATAACAGTGCGCGACACAGAGATCGAATTTTAGAACGGTAGATTATTAGGAAAATAATATAAATGAGAGTTGAAGATCCATCAATAGGAATCCATCGACATAAAGAACATTGGGAACAAATTTTGTATGTAGGAGTTATGCTTTCTGCAGCGATCTCTAGACAGTCTAAGCCTATCAAAAATATAATTTTTTGATAGAGTGAGAATTAGCTATTGGGATCTAGGAAAGTTGTAGATCTCGTCGAGAGCTTTCCGGATATATAAAGAACATCGAAAACAGAGCTCGTATGAAGAAGTTATGCCATTTTGAAAATATAGAAAAACGTGAGCGTGATGACATGGCGTTGTACAGAGATGATGATGGGTCTTGAACATTCTAACACTCCTATGCCTAGATGCTTTGGATCTATGTTTACTCTATTATATATGCATACATTCAATATTCCAAAGCATCATCCTAACTAGCATATAATGGAGTATAAACAACATGAAATACAAGTTAGATGACATACCTTTTAGTGTAGTTGGAAGCCTTGAACCTTTAAGAGCTTAGCACCAATAGTATGAATGCCTCAAATGGAATCACAACACATCTAGGACAAAGGATAACTTGTGAGAGGAAGTCTTACACTCAAAATCGGCTATGGCTCTTCAAGAACACATGCATGGGGCGATTTCATGAGATAGGGGTTTCTTATATAGTGTGGCAACATTAGGGTTACACCATGTAAACCCTAATGTGCATGACTTTCCATATTCTTCATGCTCCATGGGTTTAAATCTCAATGGATCATCCATGGGTCACCACATGGGTTTAGCTCAACATAAAGAACTATGGATCATAAGCCCACATTACAAGAATGAATGATTTACATAATCAATCCCCATATATTTAATTAGTCTCTTTTGATCACAAAATTAATTCCAAATTAATTCTTGATCAATACGAATTAAATATTATGATTTTATATTAATATATTAGAACTTATAATATATTAATAAATCATAAATAACTTCTTCTCAAAAGTCCATCCTATCAAATTGTCCTGATGATATGCAACCTAAATGGACCATGCTACTCTTGGGTCAAGTACATACCAATTATAGTTCTGGACTTAGACACCAATGCAACAGTCTCCCACTTGGATAAGTCTAATAACTATTATTGCAAGTACGACTCCACAACCCGACTAGCAATCGTAGCTCTTAAAAGTCGTTGTCGAACTCTGATCTAGTCAATGACGCGTCTATTAGATAAGGGATCATATATTCCTCCATTCTAGATATCATATGGACTAAGACACAGATTATAATCATTCTATCTGTCCATCTGTTGTTTCCCGATTTCCGATTTATGACGACCGACTAATTGAACAAATCAAATCAGTCCAGGCTTGGCCAAGCACTTAGGGGTGTCATCACTAAATCATCGAGGGGCCCACATATATCGCTTTTATCCACATGGGGTAAAAGGAACGGATAAAATTCGAACCAAATGCTTGCTTGTACCTACTCATCAAATTACACACAACAATATGTTTTATAACACCAAGTTACTGGTGCGTTTACATACGTCAATATGCAACCGACTCGCAACTACAACTCACATGTCTCCATTTCAAGAATATAAGATATTATCGTCTCACAATCACTCGTGATAAAATCCATGAAGTGATTCAGATGAGCGTGGGTTGAATCCAATACTCGAATCTTATTCCAAGAGTACTCATGAACACTGTAGCCACCTTGTCCTAGACAAACTACAGACCCATTCATGACAGTCTTGCTTCAATACCTACTTCCAAAGTATGATCGACTATGGATGGTTTGAATAACCTAGTTATTCGGGAAGTCAAAACATGCAAAGTGAAACACAAGAATAATACTAATCCTATATGGCACAAAAACTTTTGAGTGCCATATTGATTACTCATTATTCATTGTATAATGTTTCAATTTATCAACTTAATACTTGAATTAAAACAATAGCTATGCCATGCTCCAAGCATACACACTATGTTTGTCTATGGTCCTGACTTTGTGATATAGATCAATTGAAAACATTTCAATGATGATCATTTCTCAATTCCAAATCTTCATTGCAAGTGTAAGAATTCCAAATTCTTGTCACTGCTAAACTTTCATGTAATGCAGCCTTTGTAATGTCATGATACCAAAAGTCACAAAGACTTGACCAACGATATTACAAAACTTTCCACTGGAGATTGATAACAAAGCAATTCCAAGGAAGCGAAGTCTCAAATTTAAAGTACATTCGTTTGAACATCCTTCTTGCATTAGGTTTCCTAATCTTACACAAATTTAAAGAATAACTTCCACTTATGGAAACATTTCCATATTCCTATTTTGACTATCACTTGTGAACAAGAGTTGCCTCTTTTCAGAATATGTCAATATGGTCCATCCATTTTATACTTCCAACTACAAGCGACAAATCCTTGGCGAACCTTAGATTGTCCTTAATAGTTGTTAACCAATTTAGTCATATCCAGTTCTAGTCCTTTTTCCCTCTTAATGCCCTAGGCATTTGGAAAATTTAGAACGCGAGAATATTATAGCATATGCAATCGATCCTATACCCGAAGCATATGGGATGCAATTCATAATGTCTAACATAAAGGCATGATACTTGATCAGCCTTTTGCTATAATATTTCTATTTGTCATGTTCTCATAATTTTTGATTATGAAGAGGGATGTCGTAATCATAATCAAATTTTGAGAACGCAATTAACATTTCCATATATAGAATTGCCTTATGTTGAACCATTCCAACATAACATTCATATATATATATATATATATATATATATATATATATATATATATATATATATAT